CTTAGAAGAAAGGATTCTACAGGCATTTAGAAGTATAAGACCACAAATGTTACGAAACGTGTTGAGAGAAACAATTTAACGAGCTGAAATGTGTCTTGAACAAGGAGGAATGCACTTTGAAAATTTACTATAGTGAAAATTTTAAGAAATTAGGAAATTGAAAGAAATGTAAGTGCACCGCTGAAGTTATTGTTAATTTTGTTAAATTTGTTGGTCCAATCGCAAATAAATTAGTATCGTTAGATTCGTCAAGATATCCTTTTTTCGCTATTTGAAAAATAATAGTTAGACACGAAAATGTAATTTTGCCAACTTGTCTTATTCATATCTATCATACTTGTCACTAAGACTTCGTGATTGTCCTTAGATTAGTTTACTTTCGATCATGGCCACCTAGATGTTATTTCAAAAGTGACTCCGAAAAAATAAAGTAGGCATAAATAATTTCGAAAATGTCACATTCTGATCTAGAATTGTCTCAGAAATCCAAAATTTTACAATATGTAGGGTGTTCCATTTAAAAATGTAGAACCGGAGCCATTTCCGGTGAAACCGGAAGTGACTGGAAAGTGAAAAATATGTGAAAAATCTCCTCTTCACATACCATTTACCTATACCAAATCTCATTTTGATACACCTAATGGTCTAGAAGTTATGACTTGTCTAATAGATTCGTTGACACCCGGTATACCTATCGAGTATGAATCGATTATACACCATGGTTCAAAAGTTGACCGTATGTGATGACATCTAATATAATACTGTCTTGATTCACCACCTGGTCTCGAATGAATGACTAATAGGTATCTATGACTAATGACGATAATGAAATTTTCCGGGGGGAAAAGATATATAGTATACAAAATATAAGATGAAGAATTATTGAACACCGATATACTGGCACCATTATTTTCGAAAGTCTAACGATTTGAAAAGATTAAACAGGCTAAAAATATAATTTTGGCAAAATCTATATATGGTATTCATTTTTTAACCTTTGTGCATAACTCGAGGCATAGCTACATAATCAAATTTGTGTTATCATTATTTTTTTAAATAGTGAAAATGTAACGAGCACTCGAAGATATCTAATTAACAATAATTATTCTATGGAATGAGAACTATTACTTAATTTGACTCTAATGAAGTTGAACTTTGAGGACTGATTATCATTTTGTGATAAAATTGGATTTTGTCAAAATCAAGATAACGTTCTGTATCACAGTTATAAAAGATGGTAGACACATCGATGTTTGTACATTTGAATTCGAAACACCCTGTATAGCGAAAAATATATTTCATGGAATGATCTCGTATCGTCTTATTTTCTTCTGGTTTGCTCTTTTCGCATTATTATCGTCTGAAAAAATATAGTTCTGAACGGAAAGCACGATAATCAGAAGAAAGTATTCCTTCATCAAAGAATATTCAACAAACGGTACCTTTGTGATTTTGAAAACATATAAGGTAATGAAGTTGAAAGTAAAGAGGGAAATATGAGGAAAACTTGGGAGAATTTCTCTACTCACCAGCGTGAAAAATGCGAAGCTTTGATGAAACAACACGAAACACCAGAACAGCACACGATCGCGATAATGTAATCACTGAGTTGAATGAGGGATACAAAAACACTACATTTGCACTCATTTTCAAGTGAACACTCCGTTTGGAACGATAAATAATTCCTTTCGCGTATTTTTCAATTGCGAACACAAAATTCGACCGTATGTGATGACATCTAATATAAGACTGTCTTGATTCACCACCTGTTCTCGAATGAATTACTAATAGGATGAATCATACTGCTAACCGAATAATCTCCGAAGAAATGATTTATCTATGACTAATGACGATAATGAAATTATACAGGGGGAACAGATATATAGTATACAAGATATAAGATGAAGAATTGAACACGGATATACTGGCACTATTATTTTCGAAAGTCTAACGATTTGAAAAAATTAAACACAGGCTAAAAATATGATTTACACGAAAATCTCTAGTGATTCGAAAGAATTCAACAGTCAGAAGTAGTGAAAAACTGTAGCAAATTTCTCGAAGAGTGTAAAATGCACAAGGAGACATACAGGGTGTTTCAGATTAAAATGTACATTTTGGTTTAGACTGCCAGGCTTCTCTACGGAATTATTAGAAATAATAAGGTTGTGCTGATTACTACGAATACTACGTCCAGCTACGTCTAAGAGAATTCAGTGGCGTACTCAATTTCTTTAGGGGTTATGATTTTGGAGATACGACATGTATTTTATTATTTAGTTGAATCCGTTATTTGTTTCCATTCAAAATGACGCATAAAACTTTATGCATAGGATTTCCAGAAATCCCAAAAACACTAAAACATCAGACTATTACGAATTTTTGCTAGTGGGCCATGGAGTTTCCAAGTTTTACTATAACGATTATTATGTCTGATTTACTATACAGAGTATGTCACGAAGAGCTTACACTATCTGCATATCGAGAATCATTCGGGAGAAATTCATGAAAATATGCATGCTCATATTTTAGAATACGCTCTCTTCATTTGATATATTTTCAGCAATGAATTGTTGCCGCTTCGATCAAAAAGTAGCAACAACTTTTTTATTCCAAAAAGAATACACTGTATTTTTATTCTCCCTGAAGAGCTGATTTCATCGATGCATCACACTTGGGGTCTATCGGAAATGATTACAGAGATATAGGGTGTTCAAAATCGAGATTTTTCAACTTTAGGTTTTGTTTGTGTCGAAACTATTCATTATCGGCCAAAACGGATGATCAGAATTCTGAATCTTGAATAACCCTGTATCTGTTCCGATTAAATATCAGTAAATAGTGAATCAAAAGTTGATATAGACATGTGAGCCGTTTTGACCAATAATGAATAGTTTCGACACAAAAAAATCTCGAATTTGAACACCCCATATCTTTGTAATCGTTTTTGATAGACCCCAAGTGTGATGTATTGATGAAATCAGCTCTTTAGGCGAAATCTGAAAATGCGATAAAATACAGGGTAGGTATTACATTTGAAATATCAATGTCGCTACTACTTACTAGCGAAACTGCATAGTCGAAAATATTTTAAATGACGAGATCGTATTCTGAAATATAAGCAAGCACATTTTCATGGATTTCTTCCGACTGATTCTCGATATAAAGATGGTGTAAGCTTGTCGTGACATACCCTGTATATTATATTGATTATAAAAGATGGAAGACACATCGATAGGGAGTGATTGGAATACAGCGTGTGAATAAATAGTGGGACAACGAAATGTGGGCCACCCTGTATAGGTAGATCTGATCTTTCTTATTACTGTAATTGTTCTTTTTATTCATACTGAAATTTCATATGAATCCAATCAAATCCAGTTTTTACAAAATCTTGGGCTTGCAAATAAGTAGGTAGATCTGAAACTGAAAATCATAGAACTGAAGTTAGGATTTAGGAGAAAGCTTTCAATAATAATATCTTATCTGATGCATAGGTAGTACGGTACTAATAAAGGCTATTTTACCTATTAATGAAAAAACATGATTTACATTTCATAAAATCTAAAGCTTTGTAGGTAATTGTTGGTTCAACAGGAGTTTGATAATGTACCATCAGCCTCATATTTTTTTCATACATTATCAATGGAGTTATCAATCATCCAGCAACAAGCATAATATAATGGGAATTTCCTCGAAGTGAACCAAGTTTGAATCAGTAAATGACAAGTAATGTAGTGTAGTCCTATCACGCTGAACAGATTTGGGTAGATCACTTTCACCACATTGAAAAAGAATAGATATATTTCAGGTTAACCCTGCCCTATATTCAATACCAAGATCTGAAGCAATAATGATGGATTAAAGGGTGTGAGTTTCGAGATTCCGCCGATCTGAATGAAATCATTATCACAGTTCATTTCATTATCATTTCGTGATCTATCATTTTCCAAATTTTCGATAAGACTGAAAATCATTCTGGCAGAGAACTGCATATACTCATTTGACGAATATTGCAAGTTATTCAAAAACAGAGACATCTTAACAAAAACTAGGTAAACCCATGTACAATATGATATTTTATATTTTCATTTTATTTTTACATACTTACGTATACTTGGACTATTGTCCTATTTTACTTTGACTATTGTCATATTTTTACTTTGGCTAATGTCCTTTTTTAATTTGACCATTGTCCTATTTTTACTTTGACGTGTTTCATAATATTGTAATATTTCTGAACTAAATAAATTCAATTCAATTCAAAATCATCTGAATGGCTCTTTCCTGTTCCTCAAAGTTACTGACATTATGCTTTGCTATATTTTAACCACATTATAAAGGAATAAATCAAAGTTGACGGTATATTATACTGTGGTATCACCAACAATCGACGATTTTTAATATTTCATTATGATCAAATAATTATTTACGAACCTAACCTAATTTGACCCTCACGTCAGCAGTTTCCATCCTTCACTTTCCGTCCTTATAGATTCAAAAAGTACCTCTCATTTTGTACCCATTTTTGTTGAGATATCGTATAGGCGATGCGCCATACATAGAAATAGTAGATATATGGTTTTCATCTAGAACAACAATGGTCATTTACCTTATGAATGTTTCTGACCTTTTGACATCTGACGTTGCGATGACGTAGTAATGAGGAAAACATTTCTTCCGGCATAGAATGATAGTCAGACATGTTTTCCCTCTTGCTGAATGTCCCAACAATCTTGATGACATTTTTCACTATTTTCGATATATCATAAAGTGGTCCAAATTACTTTTATATAAAATAATCTAAGACCGGGTGTCGGCACGTGATTGATTCATTCAACTTGATTTTGTCTGATTTTTTTTGCAATTTTCAGGCATTGATGATATGAACCATTGACTTTGTATAAGAACCCAAACTACTTTTATTGATCTCCACACAATGCTTGAGGGCAGATGTGAGAAACCCATTGTCTTTATTCTATCGAATATCATTGATATAGGTCGACTCCTTGAACGACGATATACAAAGGCTACAGAAGGAGAACAAAGAAGCCTTCAGCACTCGTATGAAGCTCGAGGCCGAGAAGAACAAGTTGGAGAACCTGCTAACGAACAACCTGATCAGAAGGAGGGACGAGGTGCTGCACGCCTTGCAAGAGATATCGCTGGAGGACAGGAAGAGGCAGCTGACCAATTGCAAAGCGGACTTGGAGGAGATCGACAAGAAAATCGAGAAAGTGAACAGGGAATTGAACTCGATGGAGACTAAAGTTAAGGAGATGACGAAAAGGGTAAGTAAAATGTTTGTCTATTATCTGTTTTTTTTTTTATTGACTTGGACTTAATGGAAATCCATGTCAAATGTAAAAACTTCACAAACGATAAGATTTCCACAAAATTCTCAAACACACGACATGTTTCGCTAACACAGTAGCTTCGTCAGGTGATATACTGGTAGGATGACATAAACTAACCTTGGCTTGCTTATATATTCTACTTTCCCAACCTGAAGGATTAGTTACTGTGGACAGGTTCGATAAACCTCCATTTTCGGAAATTAGGCACAATATCTACATTAAAATACAATGTACCGGATTAACTTGAAAGGGTTGATATCAAATTCATATTATTACTTACTAAGAAAACAAATTCAACAGTGGTGATTGATCGTTAAGTAAAATGTCAGAATTTTTGAGTTTGTTGATTTCTAATGATTCAAAATGATTAAGTTTCGTTCCTTTATTTTCTACGTGTAGAATTTCCGAATTATCATCAAAACTATGGTTTTCTTCTAATATATGGTTGGCGTATGTTGAATTTGTTTTCTTTTCCAAAAAATTCATCATATGTTCATGAATGCGCTGATTGAACGTACGACCTGTCTGACCTTAGGACAAGATCCACAGTTGAGTTTGTATAACCCTGATTTTTCGAATTTAGAAGTTTTGTCTTTATTATTCTTGATAAACCTTCCCAACGTGTTATATGTAGAAATGAAGCTAATTTTTCAGTTGATGATCCAAAATAGGTTAAAGTTCTATAATTTTGATTATTATTCATGATGGTATCAAATTAACGTTGTATCCGTAGTTGACTACAATGAAATAATTTGATAGACAGTATTCTTTCTAAAAAACTTCATAATAAAGCGATTCAAGAAGTTTCGCCTACCATCAAGAATAATAATCAAAATTATATGTTTGTTGTGAATGTGTCCGAATCATAGACATATGAGAGAAGAGACATAACATTTTAATCATAAAACAACTATTCGCTGTTTTCAAGGTCATCATCTGACGTTGCGATGACGTTAAAACTGGAGGAAAACATGTCTAACTTTCAATCTAAGCCAGAAGTTAGGAATGTTGTCCCCCCAGTTTCAACGTCATCGTTACGTCCGGTAATGACCTTGAAAACCGTGAATTTGTTTACAATCATACATACCTCCAAAGTTTCAAATAAGTTAGAAATAGATGGCTTCAAAAATCGGCAACCTTGCAAACTATGCGTCAATGTTCACACTTGTGTTCACCAGTTGCGTAGGTTAATCGAGGGGCAAGACAATTTTACTACAATGACAACGCTATTATACCTAATATAAAATTCTTGGGTCTAATCTTTCAATTTCATTGCCAAATATTTGTATACAGTACCTTAGGTACTTACCTAGTTTTGATCCATCTTTCAGTGGAATTTGAACAAGTTTCTTGCAATAATTTAGTTGAAATAACCTGCTATAACTACACCACTGCTCAAGTTAAGATATAATCTTGGGGTTTGTATGGTGACCTTTTTATCAATCCAATTCATAACAAGACAAGACTGAAAATCAATTGAAACACAAAAAGTCCTAATTTTTTGTTTTTTGTCTTGGAGCGCACGATAGAAAATTCTTATAATGTTCGTGGAACAGCTTGCATACAGTTTATATAGGTCGTGGAAATACTCGGGAAGAAACAGTATCAAATGCTGAATTTGATTTATCAATTATAAAAAACAATCTTGATCATGATTTACTGACTCTAAATTAAAAAAAAAATTGAATTTTATGACATTCACATTTAATGAGGATATGCAACCAAAAAGAATTGATGAAATGAAGATACATACTATTCCATGTTTAAAAAATGAAAAGCAATGTATAGTCTAAGATCCGAACCTAAATCGACCTTCACCGAGCTGATAATAGAACGAAATATATTTTATCATGAATTTAGTATATTAGAAAACATATTAAAAATGGGTTGGCTAAAAAAATCCTGGGCAGACTATTTTTAATTATTTTTCGAAAAATTATTTTTAATTAAATGTTGCAACATCAGGATAATAAAAAAATTGTGTCCTGACTGAAAGTATAAAACGTATAGAATGTGCAGCCGTTGGGTTGTCTACTATTTACCTGGGCGAACTACTGGGTTGTCAGGTAAACACAGGTATATCGATGCCAGTTACTTTCACTGGATTGGATAATTTAAAAAAATTTATATCATCATAAGCGCTGTTTAATTGCGAACACGTTGATATAGGGTTGTCTGCGAAAATTCCGGTCCTATTAGGGGTTTGCGAATTTTAAAGATTTTAATTTCAACGCGCGTGGAAGTGTGTGACAGAGAGATCCGAGGTAAGTATACTGTGTAATAATAAAGGACCCAACATCGCAGTCGCTTGTGATGGGACCCTGAATAGTAGAAAGTGTGCGAAGTGTGCGAAGTCAAATCCTGAAAACTATGGTTGGCATTTTGATGATTTCTTAAAACCAACAGGTTCGGAGATCAAACTCCTTTGAAAATCCAAGACATTGTCGAAATGGAAGCAAATGAGGAAGAATCTAATGAATCAGATGAATTCGAGAGTCAAAATGATACTTCTGATGAATCAGATATTGAATAGAAAATATTTATTAGAATTTATTTTTCATTAATATTATTTTTGTATTTATACTGTTTTTTAATAAAATTTTAAATCGTAATACAAGATGTCTAGTCTATCTTTTTTGTTATTTCTTAATTTAAATTTTTGGCGGTCCACTTTGTTTCTATTTCCAGAAAGAGCAAAAAAATTTCAAAGTAAGTATTTGATATTTTTATTGTCTATTATAGATTATAGATATATCATTATGGTTATAACGCAATATATTGATATTATATTGTGGCCAGGTAGCCGTGCGGACAGAGTGTCTATATTCTGATTCGCATTCGCTTGCCGGTCGTGGGTTCGATCCCCGTCGACTGCAGAAATTTTTCTGATGACCCGAGAAAGTGTTTGGGATCACACGTTAAAAGGTAAGGCCCCCGTCATTCCTTGCTCGCACAAGACTTTCGAAGACTTTTGAGGGTTGCTCGTAAGGGGGCAACCGAATGACGGATAGAACAAATTTTAGAACAAATTTTTTGTTTTTATATATTATTATTATATTAAATATATTTAATTATTATGTAATTAATTAATTTTTTTTTTCTGCTACTGAAATATCAGTTGCTCCAAAATAACACGCACTGTTTACTATATGAAGGGTAGTAGAGGTACCTCTACCCTCCATAGTTTACACACCGAGCATGCGCACTTTCTACTATTCAGGGTCCCATCACAAGCGACTGCGATGTTGGGTCCTTTATTATTACACAGTATACTTACCTCGGATCTCTCTGTCACACACTTCCACGCGCGTTGAAATTAAAATCTTTAAAATTCGCAAACCCCTAATAGGACCGGAATTTTCGCAGACAACCCTATATCAACGTGTTCGCAATTAAACAGCGCTTATGATGATATAGATTTTTTCAAATTATCCAATCCAGTGAAAGTAACTTGCATCGATATACCTGTGTTTACCTGACAACCCAGTAGTTCGGCCAGGTAAATAGTAGACAACCCAACGGCTGCACATTCTATACGTTTTATACTTTCAGTCAGGACACAATTTTTTTATTATCCTGATGTTGCCACATTTAATTAAAAATAATTTTTCGAAAAATAATTAAAAATAGTCTGCCCAGGATTTTTTTAGCCAACCCATTTTTAATATGTTTTCTAATATACTAAATTCATGATAAAATATATTTCGTTCTATTATCAGCTCGGTGAAGGTCGATGTAGGTTCGGATCTTCTACTAGTAATTGTATCGAATATATTACAAAAATTGATGTAGTAAAGAATTTGGGAATTCACTTAGATTGCAAGCTCAAATGGCATAAACAAATGAATTGATACAAAAACTAAGAAAAACACTCTATAAATTCAGGTTACTGAGAAACATTTTCAGTCGAAATTTAATTATCAGTTTCTATTATAGTCTTTTTCAATCTATTCTGGCTTATGACATAATAGGCTGGAGAGGTATGTATAAACAAGCGTTGAAACCACTTATATCAATTCGAAAATATGCCTTGAAAATTATCTTCAAAAACCTTTTGATTATTCTTCCAAAATCCTCTTCGAACATTATAACATTCTTTCTGTTGATCAATTGTTTTATAAAACATCAACAATATACATAAGAAAACATTTACAAAACTATAATCATGTTAAACATAAATATGACACCACAAATAAAATTGATGGTTGGATATCAACTGAGAACTGTTTTTTATAGTTATTCTTAGATAATATAAAAATGAATTTTAGTTAGTGGAAGGATTCATGTTTATATCATAAAACAAAAAGTATATTATTATTAATATAGTACGCTGATATGTATGTTATTTCAAAAATGAATAAATAATAAGATAAATATAGGGAGGATATGGAGAGGAGGTAGGTGTTGGAATTTTTTTGAACTTTTGGAGGTTATAAGTTCTTGGAAATTGACCATTCTAGATCACGTGATTTCGGGAGGGTTTCTTGGAGGGCATACAAACTATCTGTTAGGTTACCTTTGATGTGCATAGCCCAGCCCACATCCAGAATACACTAACAGATTCACCAAACAAAATTATGAAATTCTTTTGCGTTCCAACTCGGGTTCCAAGAAAAAAGATCCAAGAGCCAACTACTTCTGGTTTTATATGACGTAATTCTGGAATGCCAATACAACAACACTCTAACGTCGAATTTTGACATAGCTGAATGACTAAGAAAAATATCCGTAACTCGTATTAAATACGCGAATACAGCGTTGCCACACATATTTCCATAATACATTAATATTATGATATGTAATGATAAAATTAGTAAAATTAAAATTATTTCAATAGCAGAATTCATATATTTCATTCAAGGAACATACAGAGTGAATATATATACAAAATGTAGAAAGGTCGGCGACCTTTCACTTTTCTATCGATACTTCCACGGGAAATGTTCTTCGGAAATCTCTGCTATCATCCCTTCACTAGCAATACCAATCAGACGAACTAGACAAGCCCAGTCAGCACATCCTTTCGTTGTCAACCTCGAAAGATGTCGAACAGCACTTTATCAGGACTCCTTCATCCATGGAACGGCTAGGCTCTGGAATTCATTGCCTGTGGAAGTATTCCCAACAACATATAATCTCCAAAAGTTCAAAAAAAATTCCAATACCTACCTCCTGTCCCTATCCTCCCTACGAACGCACGATGTTCTTTGAACATTATAGGGATTCCCTTTCGTGCGCTCCAAGCGATAAAAAAAAAAAAAAAAAAAAAAAAAAAAAAAAAAAAAAAAAAAAAAATGGTTTCCTCGTTTTCAAACACAGGCGGTAGATATTGGGCAATCCGCAAACATTTTTCATAATCGTTGTCCCTGAATACGATGTTGGTTCGGTTTAAAATGTAAACAATTTCGTCTCCCCTCTTTTTATAATATGTCTATGGTCTGAATTGATTTTCAGATGAAGACTGAGCAATCTGAGCTGGAATCCTGGAAGAAGAAGGAGAGAGACGCTCAAGATAGAATCGATGAGGATGCCAAGCATCTTGAGAAGTTTGCTACCAAGCAAAATTTGTTGGAACAGAAAATTGCAGAGTCTGTGGAAAAAATCAATCAACTGGGAGCGCTGCCTGCTCAAGATCTGTATTCCCATTACATCAAGATGTCTTCAAAATCTGTAAGTTGATGAAATTGTGGTGAGATTGAAGAATTCTTACGTTTTTTTTTATTTCAGCTGTTCAGGGAACTGGAAAAGGCCAATAATCAGCTGAAAAAGTTCAGCCATGTAAACAAGAAAGCTTTGGACCAATTCATGAGCTTTTCTGATCAGAAAGAGAAGCTCCAAAAGAGAAAAGAAGAATTGGACAGAGGGTGAGATATGTATTTTTTTTATATTTTGCGTCTCTAATGAGTTCAACATCAAGTGGCATAAGTCGATGTCATGAATGACGGTTTGGAACAATTAAATGAGTTTTCTGGATTGTTGGAAGATGACTTACAGCGATCCAGATAGTCGGTTATGTATCAGGTCATTACTGTCCAACCGGAATACAGGTTGAGGAGGCCGATAGACGGTTATGTCTATAATGATACGCAGATTTTGATTTCATGAATGGTAACATCAGACTGTCAGTTAAAACTCAAACATTTAATGTCCATTAGTATGAAACTTGGGGGCAGCTAAATTGAGCAGACTTTAAAATCGCCCCAAAACCATATTGAATTCAACGGACGCACTGTATACAAACCCCATGTATGATTATATGAAGATTTTAAAGGGGTGGTTATTCCTTAACGTGGACACACTGTAGGTTGTTCCAATAAAAAAAAATTTCGCAGACAAAATTTTCCGTAATGAATATGGCAACAGATTTAAAATCGACCTGTTCCAGGAGATTCCTGAGAAATGGATGGTTTGGTTGAAAATGAATCTATTCAATAATACATTCATAGTTTTTTTTTCAATCTGCCGTTGTAGTTGTATACATTCTTCAAAATGATATGCAGCTACCTACGTACCGTTCAGTTTGGCTGAGCAACCATTAAGGACAACTTAGTCATAGGAATTGACCGTATTTCACTTAGAAAATATTAGACATTCTGTGCTATTTGTGAGCAGTCTTACGGGCAATTGTCGATTGCAACTAAGGTCCAAGAAGTTGTTCTTGCTCTCATTTTCAATAATTACCAATTGAACAGTTCTTGATTTTATTGAAATACTATAATTTAGAGTCAGTGGCGCCGATTTTAGCCATCCTCACAAAACAAAACGTCTAACACTTGTCAAATCCTTGAATACATGGCCAATAGATGTGGTAAACAGTCCAAAATCGTCTGGTTTTATAAAAAAGAACTGCAAATGAAGTCTTTAGGTTTGCATAGATTTACAGTTGATTCTAAAAAAGGTAAATTGAAAATGCACTTGTTTTATTTTGTAATTTCATGAGTGGCTTCAAACGTGAAATATTTGTACTTCCCGAAATAGATATTAGATATTTTAAATTTGAAAAAATAAGACAGGAATAAATACTCTATAGGTATCTAACAGGAATGAAATTTCGAATTTTATATATAATACCAGCAATAGGATTCACTTTTTTCCTCAAATGATCTATATGTAGAGTCCACGATAATTTTTCATCATTTGTATATTCAATAGATTTGTTATTGAAACATATTGGGGTATTATTCAATATGTCCGTTGTTCTTCTCCAGATGACGTAGTTTTACTATAATCAAGTCAACTTATTGGTCGTTAGCCAAGATGGTATTTGTTTCAAATCATTTTTAATATCATTATTGATATCGTTAAAATCTTTTGCAGTATAGATTATTGTTGTATCATCTGCAAATAATTTTAGTTTTCCTTTCAATTTTGAAGTAGATATTGAGTTAATGAAAATTAAAAATCAAATTGGCCCCAAAACTGACCGTTGTGGTACACCACATGTAATATTCATCAGGGAACTACAAGTATTATTCACATCAACATACTGTTTACTATTCTCAAAAATTACCAATTGAAAATTGAATTGGTGATTTCTGTTACAATGTTCGACTATTGTAGACGGGGATCTACATAGAATATCAGTGTGTCGAATTTTGGAATCAGTTATGTATTTCTTCAGATATGAAATAATAACTTTTATATAATCGATGTCATTCTTCAGGGACGAGAAGATCAAAGAACTGATAACCATGCTGGAGCAACGCAAAGTGGAAGCCATCCACTTCACCTTCAAGCAAATCTCCAAGTTCTTCACCGAGGTGTTCAAAAAGCTCGTTCCGGTAGGCCGCGCCAAACTCGTCCTCAAAACCATCGACCACGAAGAAGGCCATGAAATAGGACCGGACGACAAGAACGCCGATAATTTCACCGGCATCGGCATCAAGATCTCCTTCACCGAAGCGGATGCCGAGATGAAAGAGATGAACCAGCTTTCCGGCGGGCAGAAATCCCTGGTGGCCCTCGGGCTGATTTTCGCCATCCAGAAATGCGACCCGGCGCCCTTTTACCTCTTTGACGAGATCGATCAGGCGCTGGATCCCTCCTATAGGAGATCGGTGGCGAATATGATCCACGAATTGTCTTCCGAGGCGCAGTTTATCACGACGACGTTCCGACCGGAGTTGTTGGAGCACGCGCACAAGTTTTACGGGGTCAAGTTCAGGAACAAGGTTAGTCACGTGGAGTGTGTGACTAGGGAGGTGGCGAGGGATTTCGTGGAGGATGACCAGACGCACGCTTGAGAGGTCGCGGTTGAGCTAAGGTTTAGTTTTTTTATCGTTTTGTATCATAGAATTACGTTCAAACATTGTTTAGAATTCGAGTTCGGAGTTCCAAATCTATTTATTATGAGTTTTATTCTAAATTATGACTTCTTCATTCACGTTTGATTCAAGAACTTGAAATTGAAGATTTTTGTTCAGCTGATTGAACTTAAACAAGTTTTTTTTGTTGATTATAAATTTGTTGCATTCATAGAGGTAAATACAGTTATATAAGAACACATCATCATATCTTGTGCATATTTTCATTTGAACATTCAACTATTCAGTCTGGTAATTGACAATACACATATCTACGATAAAATACATGATCAACTAATTTTGATTATTCCGGCGCTGTCATTCAACAGGAGACAACAAATCTTATAGGTATATGTTTGCAAATAATTAACTAAACTAATGTCCTCGGGTCCTGTTACATTATTTTTTACACTAAACCGTCGATTACCAGGAGAGACATCATATTCCTATATTGAAGTGTAAGAAAACAAAAAATTTCAGGTATAGTTGACAAATAAGAATCGAAATTGAATATATTGTTAGTGATGAAGTTCAAATTACCCCGTAAGTTAATTGAACGCCTAGGAACCTTATCACTTATCACAAGCTGGGGATTCATCGGTCATTCAGATGATTAAAATAAAACATGTTTTTTCTATGGATTAGTCATTCGATGCATCATAGTAGTAAATACAGTTAGTTCTATGAAAACATTAAGGCACACCTTATTATATCTTGTGCATATTTTGATTCGAACATTGCCTTACAATTATTTTGTGTACTCTCAACTATTGCACTGGTAACTGGTAATACACATGCAAGATGGAAGATAGAATCAACTAGTAAAACTCCATAACGTTTTCATATCCTCGATCCTTGTTTTCCACACTAAACTGTCAAGTACTTGCATTTCACGATTCTATCATCAATGAAGCTGCAAATCATTGATGAAACTTTATAAACAAATATCTTCGTACATAATTTTCCACACTGAACTGTCAATTACCAGGATAGGCATTATACTTTTGTATCAAAATAAGAGGACTAGCAAAATAATTGACAAATGAGCATCAAAATTGAATATATCAATTTACTCTAGATTATCAACATAGACTTCTTCATTCACGTTCACTGAACTGACTGAAATAAAACATGTATTATTCCCTATTGATCATTTATTTGATGCATCACAGAATGAATACACAGTAAGAAAATTAAATATCACAAGGCACACTTCAACATAATATCCTGTGCGATTTTTTTATTTGAAAATTACCTTACAAGTATTCTCATAGTTCAAGGTTTTATTTAATCTGGTAACTGACAATAATTAGAGTTACGATTAACGTCAAAGGATAGGAATAGGTCTAAATCTTTTTCGTTTCGACATTGTACTTAAAAAGTACAAACCATTGATTTACACCAAACTGCTGAAGTGTCAATTACCAGAATAGACATCACTTTTGTTTTAAAATAGGAAGTGTAAATTGAAAAAGTCTGGTTATACAATTCAACTAATTGAAATCGAGCTCTTTTCTACCTTGAACGAGAGAGAAAAGTCCTCTTCCATATTTCTCTTCAGTGCTACCAACGTGTTTGCATTGAAATATGGAGAGATCCGATAAATCTTTCCCTGTCTAACGTCTACTCTGCGCCACTGAACTATTTTTGATGTTATAATGATGTGATATGTCTATGTCATAAATGTTATTGACTGATAACCTTTCGAATTTTTTAAATGAAATTTCGAATTATATCTACTTATTTTGACATCATTTGTTAATATCGTTAAATTTGACTCTCTGCTGAATTCAAGAATAGTTCAGTGGCACAAACTAGATGTTAGACAATGACAGATTTATCGGACCTCTATATTTAAATGCAGCTACGTTGGTATCATTGAACAGAAAGATGGAAGAGGATAGTACTTTCCTCTCTCTCGCTCAAGATAGAAAAGACCTCAATTTAAGATTCTATCATATATCAAAAATCATAAAATAACATCCTCAGATCATGGGACATTATTTCTCACACTGATCTGTCAATGACTTGGGGATAGCACAGCAGCGTCACTCCGTTGAAATACCTAAGTACGCGCATGACATCCCGCGCAATGTTGTGGGGATGCAGAGTACCATTACTGCCATTCAAGTTGAACGAGCTACACGCTAGCTCGCGCTAGCCACCGTTCAACGAGCAAAGCAGTGGTTCAAGGTCAGCATAAATACACCTACTCTAATGAATGTACCACGGATACAATTGACGCTGCTGGTGGGGATAGGCATGTCTTTTTGTTTCGAAATATAATGGAAGTGTAAAACAACTACAAAACGAGTTGTGAAACAATATGTCAAATAATTTAAATTCAAGATCTCATTATACATTTAAATTTGTAGAGGAGAGGATTAGACGACTGTCTAAGTTAAGGATGAAACTGTCGATTTCCTTCGGGTATGCAGTCAAACTGCATACCCGAAGGAAGTCGACAGTTTCATCTTCAAATTTGTATCTATGTACTTACTTATAAATAGAAGAGTGCATTACATTTCACATTTATCACAATAATTAACAAATGAGCATCAAAATAAAGTATTTCATTTCACTTAAAATTATCAAAATGACAGAAGTATATCAATTTCCGAGAAGGCACACATTAAAGGCTATATTCTTAAAAATCGTTTTGTCCCCCATAAAATAAACAATTTTTCGACGGGTGATGAAAAGGAGAAATCATTATTTTTCTGACATTGTCTACACGCTCCCAACTAATAGATACAGAAGACATTTTCCTAAGTTGAGCTGAGTAAGCAAAGCGAGAATAGTCTCCTGTGTGGTTTCAATATCACTTTTTCCACTCCCAGCACATATTCATTTTCCTAACTTGAAAGTTTCTCCGACCTAAATTCGCCACTATCTTGTGGATAATACATGTTATCATTGAAAGTGGTTCAATAATCATAATATACAGGGTGTTTCATTACTAATTGGAGATATTTCAACCATAGAATCCTGAACTCAAAATATGAAGATTCAACCCAAATCACCTAGATAAAATATGTCTCCTGTCTGAGTTACAGGGTGTTTTATTCATTTATTTATTGACGTTCACTTTCATATTTGGAGGATAGTGTAGGTATTATACACCCAACTGAATTATGTGAAATGAACTTTTTTAGCTATCACCAGAGGCGTACGAGAGGGGCAATTAACTGGTTGATACCTCCCAAATTCTACGCCACTGGCGGAATTGCAATTCTATCACAAATTTTCAATTCTCCAACAATTTTGACGTAGATATTGTACTCTTTCTCCATGGCGATAAAGTCATTATTTTTCGAGATATTTCAAGTTATTAATTAATAGTAATTTTGTCAATATTTTGGATCAATGGATTGTATTCATCAATAAAATGAAACTTCAATCCATATTAACAATAAAAACATGATTACATAACAGACAGGAGCTGTTACAGGTTGTTTAATTATGTAATATATTAAAAAATTCAAAACGCCCTGTAACAGCTCCCGTCTGTTATGTTTTTATGTTAATATGGATTGAAGTTTCATTTGATTGATGAATGCAGTCCATAGATCCAAAATATCGAAATTATTGATACATTGATACACTTAAAATATCTCGAAAAATAATTACTTCATCGCTATGAAGAGAGAGTACAATATTTACGAAGAAGGTATTGAAGAATCGAAAAATTCTGATGAAATTGCAATTTCTGTGGCGTAGAATTTGGGAAGGATCAACCAGTCATTTGCCCCTGTCGTACGCCTCTGGTAATAGCTAGAAAAGTTCATTTCACATAATTCAGTTGGGTGTATAATACCTACACTACCCTCCAAATATGAAAGTGATACGTCAAATAGTTTTGAAGAACTGGGCAAAAAACATTTCAAAATTTTTGAATAAAACACCCTGTAACTTACACAGGAGACATATTTTATCTAGGTGATTTGGGTTGAATATTCATATTTTGAGTTCAGGATTCTATAGTTGAAATATTTCCAATTAGTAATGAAACACCCTGTATATAATAACATATATACACCATTTAGACCGCTAATGCCATAAGACAAAAGTTCATCCATTCGCGAGAACCCATGGAGCATTTATTTCTAGTTTCTTCTTCTTGTTTCTTAATTGCTTTCGTTCCTTCAATTTGGATGAAATTTTCAGGTGGTGGTTAGACATACAGTATGATGCAAATGTATGGAATAAATTCATTATTTCAGAAATGGGCGACATTTTAAAAAATTCCAAAAACACGTGAGGTTTCATTTTTGAAGCATCATCTCATGATATCCATATGAGAGATGTTACGTCACCGGTGTTGGAGTAATGACGTAATGAACGATTTTTTCAAATGAAAACATGGGTCATGTGACACATCGTTTGAATGGTCTACTGATCGTCTATTCAACAGTCAAAATTTTGCGTAAGAAAATTGAAATTAAAATGGATTATCATTTGATTAACTGAATCTTGCAGAGGTCTGCTACTGAGAATTGAACAACGAAGGATCGTCTATTTAAAGAAATACATCAATTAATAAAGTTCTGAAGTCTAGTTTTTGGATTTTTTTCGGAAGTCGTCTTGTTTTGAAATGAATTTATTCCATACATTTGCATCATACTGTATACCGGTCTAGATGAACAGAATAGATGATGCTTATAATTATTTTACATTTACAATTTTCATTACCCGATTCACTACACAAATCAATAATTTGAGGAAGTTACACTAGTTACAGCTAATTGAAACTAGTTGAAAGTTTCAATATTCTTGAAGTAAATTTCTGTATGGTATTTGTGAATGATTATTCAATGATTTGTGCATCACAGACGGTCAGTCATTCTCGAGCCCTACGTACTTTGTGACATAACAAAACGAATGATCGATGAGAATGTTTGAATCGATAAAAATGGTTATGTATAGTCCAAGTGAAAAGCGTGACATGGAATAAAATGGCGACCGCTGATTGGCTGCAGGGTCGATAACTCTCAATGGACCCATTTGATCGAATGACCTATCCATTTTTAGAAATTTGTTATTCAATGCTGGCTGCCGGTGTTACATGGGGTGGGATCAAGATATTTCGGCGTGGCTCGGCTACGTAGCCCTATCGATTAGGTGTGGTCCAAAGATAGTATAAGCGTGTTCGATTCGATAATAAATTACACTTCAAATAGCGGTGACATCTGTGGACGTAACTCAGTGAGTTATTCCTTATCGACTCCGCCCTATGACCGGATAAGCTGAATCATCTAAGAGGTGTTGTCCAGTCGCACGAATTATAAGGTGTGGTTCGAATATGGTAGGCGTGGCCAAGTTTATATTGGGAAGGGATGGAATTTGTAGGCGTGACTCGATCACGTTATCAACCATCGACCCGCCCCTTTCACCAGATAACTATTAGACGAGATTTGAAGCCGGTAGGCTCGATATTGAATGACAGTCTCCGAATAGCTGCCAGGTATAATAGGCTTGTTCGCGTTCAAGAAATAAACAGTTTCACATCTTCAGAAGCATGATTTTTGGATGTGGTTCAAATATAGTAGTCGTGGCTCTCCGATCAGCGGCCAAGTTACATTGGAGGGGATGACATTTGCGGGCGTGGCGCGATCACGTTACTACCCATCGACCCGCCCCTTTGACAGATAACGATTAGATGGGATCCATAGACGGTAGGCTCGAAAATTAATGATGGTCTCCGATTAGCTGCCAGGTTCACATTGGGAGGGATCAAGATTAGTGGGCGTGGCTCCGTTACGTTACTCCCTACCGACCAACTGACCTGCCCACCTACATTCGAAATCGTTTCCTATTCGTTGACCTACAGAGGCTGCGCATAGACCGAGTTCCTGTCACGCCTTAAACATACTAAATGTTCATTTAAATTCATTAGGTTTGTTTTATTATGGTGGTGTGGATCTCCGTTCAACGCCAATTTTTCATTAGGCAATATGAAATTTGTTGGCGTGGCTTGGTTACCTATTGACCCGCCCCTTCGAGCAGATAACCTAACCATCTACACTCTAAATTGACTTCTTCAAACTGAATTCCAGTCTCACGAACACGCCTTGACTATACACACTGTTGATTTGAAACGATTAGGTGTGATCCTGAGACGTCAGGCTCGATAATGAATGACAGTCCGATTAGCAGCCAGGTTCACGTTGGGAGGGATCAAGATTAGTGGGCGTGGCTCCGTTACGTTACTCCCTATCAACCGACTAACCTGCCCACCTACATTCGAAATCGTTTCCTATTCGTTGACCTACAGAGGGTGCGCGTAGACCGAGTTCCAGTCGCGCTCGAACACGGCCTGCAGCTGGCTGCGGACGGTCGTATGGGTGGAGTTCCTGTCGAAGACCGGGTCGTGCAGCACGAAGGACACGCCCGCCGTGTCGGTGAAGTAGTCGCCCGACCAGTTCGACGTGCCGATGAAGGCCGTGTTGTCCGTCACCATGTACTTGTTGTGGTTGACGCGGGCGAACGGGATCTTCTGTTGGGCTTCGTCTGCCGGTACTATAAAGCGACGCTATAAAGAAATTGAATACTGGTTAGCATTATTCATAATAATAATAATTGTACTTTATTGAACAACAATGTTGAAATGGCTATCGACCGAAATCCTTCTGCCAGTTCTGCCAATATTGTTACAAGGTATAAATAATAAATACCTAATATACAGGGTGATTTAAAATTTGATGTAAATATTTTAAGGGATATTGTTGGGATCAAAATAAGACTTTTTCTTTATAAAAACATGTGTCCTATTTACATCGAATTTTGAATCACCCTATATAATTTGTAAGGATGAGCAAAAAAATAAGGAAATAAATATACAGAGTGATTACTGAAATGGGTGATGGATCTCAACATTTTAATGAAAACACTGTCTGTAGGTTAATCGAGGAGGTGGTAAATTCATTATTCAAAATTTTTTGGGATTTTCTCTCCTCGTTTCTATAAAATAAAAATATGAATATTATTTCAATATACGTGTAGTAAGGACAAATCAGATGATTTGCCCCAAAATGTCACTGCGTTTAAAGAATTTTCCTATCAGAGAGCCTAAAAGAAAAATTCACTAGCTTGTCAGTGACAATTTGTATTGAAAAATTTTTGGAGAAGAGAAATAAAGGTATATAGAAAAAATATCAAATTTTCACTTATCTTTGGACGTTTAGGGACCGATTCTGCTCCCGTTTTCAACATGAAGAGATTTTTTCAATTGCGAAGTCGTATAATATGTCTTGAAGCTTTTCAGTTTTCAATGACAATTGGTGACGTTGGCAATCAAAAGAGTTACAGGATGTTTTCATTAATTAATCTTGAATTTACCATTTTCATGTTCAGATTTCAGTAGTGAATACCATGTTCTGTCTATATCAACTGAACAAGAAGCAATGCTATTGTCTCCGTTCAGAAGAATGCAAGCAGATTCCTTGATTTTTCTCTTCTGGTTGTTATCATCTTCTTTTCCAATGATTTTAATATTATTCCACTCTGCCATATGTTGTCCGTCTTCAGTAAGGATATGTTCAGCTAGTTTCGATTTATCGATGTTTCTTTTCTTTATATTGTACTTATGTTCCTTCGTCCTTACTGAAAGAGGTCTCTTGGTTTCACCTGTATAAAACTTTCCACAAACACAAGGTATACTGTAAATACATTTTTTTGACGATTGTTCTTCATTTTTCGGCTTTGTTTGAGTTAGAATTGATCTCATTGTATTTTCAGTTTTGAACACAGTCTTCACTGGAAATTTATCACCAACACGTTTCATTTTTTCAGATATGCCGGGAATGTATGGTATTATATTTGTCGTTGTTGATGGTTGATTTTTTTGTGGTTGACCCTGTTTGTTTTCAATTTGATGAATCGTCCTATCGACAAAATTCTTTGGATAGGAATTCAGTTGGAGAACATTTTTAATGTGGTGGACTTCGTTATTGAAAATTTGTTGGTCAGATGATATTGATTTGGCTCTATCATGGAGTGATTTGATTATTCCTTTCTCAATACTGTTCTGATGATTTGATTGAAAGTTCAAGTATCTGTTAGTATGGGTCTTTTTACGATATACACTCGTTACAAAGATGTTATTTGATTTTTCAATAAGAACATCTAGAAACGGTAATTGATTATTAGATTCAATTTCCAAAGTGAACTTTATTGTAGGTTCGGCATTGTTCACATAATCCAGAAAATTATCTAGCTCCATAACGTTATGAGGCCAAATTATGAAAATATCATCTACGTATCGCCACCATGTTTTAAAAAATCTCTTCATGTTGAAAACGGGAGCAGAATCGGTCCCGAAACGTCCAAAGATAAGTGAAAATTTGATATTTTTTCTATATACCTTTTTTTCTCTTCTCCAAAAATTTTTCAATACAAATTGTCACTGACAAGCTAGTGAATTTTTCTTTTAGGCTCTCTGATAGGAAAATTCTTTAAACGCAGTGACATTTTGGGGCAAATCATCTGATTTGTCCTTACTACACGTATATTGAAATAATATTCATATTTTTATTTTATAGAAGATTCGAAGATATCAACTTGAAATTAGGTGTGGTTAATACTTCCTCGAAGGTCATTATGAGCTTTTTGAAGATTGTTAATATCTACAGGGTTATAGGTTTTTGGGGGTAAAGGCCTCTTTATGTCTCCCAAACTTTTTCGTAGTACGCCTTTGACATCTTCCAGTTACCAAATCGGGTGGTTCATTCAATTCAGAGGCTGTTTTTGCTCATCAATTTTCTTCGAGAAACGAACCGTTTTCGAAATAAAAAAGCATATATTTTCTAAAACATGGTCAATTTGCCTGTTTCACTCAAATGACAAAGCAGTGGATTTAAAATCATGAAGTGAATAAATTACAGGGTGGATTGAAAATCCTAAAGTGAATAGTTAAACATGAATTCAACTTTAACTTTAGGATTTAAGGGTTTCAAAAATTTTCAACCAGAATTTGACCAACTAGGCCAACTTTCTTCAAAATGCTGAAAATGATGATCTTCTAGAAAGTATTAACCACATCAAATTTAAAATTGTAGTCATATGCAGTTTGTACAAGAAATTAACAATTTTTCAAATTTTATATCACGTATGATCTATCTATATCATGTATAACTTATGTTTTTATAAAATACCCGATTGTTTGATGAAAACAATGAACAATCGTAGATCGAATGATACTTCATATTATAGTATACTTCAAATGTTGAAAAACAGATAATTGCCAATAAAAACGCCTTGTATATGATATCTGGATATTGAAAAATTCTTTTTTTTTTTTCATCATTTGAAGTGCACTCAAGAGGTTCCCTGTTATGTTTCATGGAGCATTGTGAGTAACTATGGTGGATAATGAGAGAATAAGTTAAGTATTGGAGTGTATTCTAGAAGTCTATCAGCATGTTGATGTTATAAGTTTTTTGCTAAATATTATCTGATTTTTTGCGATTTTTAATCGATCATAGTTGACAGTGTAATAGTACAATGAGAGAATATGAGGAACATACATGAATTCAGATTTATCGAAATTAGATTATGACTTTGTTTTGATTATCCCAAATTTAAATAAGATCTTCACTGTGATTCTAACATTGAAAAAATCAATATGAACAAGGGCAAATTTGAATTACCGGAAAAATGGATTGAATGGCTATCGATCATATGACTAATATTATGTCATTATATTCGGCGCACTTGAAACCAACCACCCTACATAATTCTTCAACTATTAATGCTCACGAGATACCTAAGATAACAAGTCAAGTTATGTCAGGATAATGTACCAAAAATCACGAAATAATGTGTCTGGCCATTTTCTCACAAGATCATTCTTCTTTATTTATTAGATCCAAATAATATATAATATTCTCAGATATAATTATGAACATAAAAAAATTGATATATTTATGAAGGAATACATTGAGGATTCGCATTCTCTATGAGTCTATGTGATTAAAATATCAATTCTTTCTCGGTCTATTCAACAGAGAACAACTACTTTCATGGCTATAGAATTTGAAAACTAAATATTCTGAGGTAGAGAATTTGCATTCTCCTTCATATAAAGATATGTACATAATATCATTCTTAATATTCAACAGAAAACAACGACTTTCCTGGCTATTTGCCACGTCGAACGTTGAATTATATCTGTTGAATATCCAAAAAGTGAGCATGAAAAAAAAAAGATCAAATAAGTTGAAAACATGTCCATGATCATGTGACAATTTACACCATGAAAACATTTGCATAATATCTAAAACTAACTATAATATATATTCACTACACTGTTTTACCGCCAACCTAATAGTTATTTGTTTTACTAGATAGCAAAGTAGTAGATTGACTGCCGCGGCTGATAGTTCATAGCCAAGTGTAGCGAGGCTAGGAATTCAGCCAAGACAGTCAATCTACATTTGCTGCCGTGTGAAACATATAATTTTTTCTCCAAATGTTATAAAATCAATTTTTTCCACCACTAGTTCTAGAACCTACTATAATCTACTCCTTTTCAAGCCATTAAGTATTTTTACTATCAAGGTAGTTTTCGTTATTTTATGTCAATAAAGACATAGCGACACCTCTGATATAATCAATCCGAATTCACTGTTCTTATACGAGATTCGCAGGAATGGCACTTGAATCTAGTAGGTATTTTATTGTGGTACGCCTCCCGGTATAATATCTTTCATCACTGACTGAATTAATTTTAATTTCAATTAAAAATAATCGAATAGTTAGTTTTCTGCAAAAATTATAGTTATCGATAGTTCAATGAGTCATTTATTAATATAAGTTATTCAAAAATAACGTACACCCTATTGTACTGTATACTAAGGAATGTAGATCGCATTGAGTACCTACTACAAATACTCGAGCTGTTATTTTGATCGTCTGATTCCCATATTTGGTTTTGTTTATATTATTCTGTTGATATTATTTTGTTTATATAAATAATGAGCTGTTATAGGGGAATCACATATCTCAGATGTTTGTTCCTTTATTTGCGGCATTATATGGGTGGGTGCCTGCCAGTCATTTGAGGTCATATGGTGAGATGCACTATACACAGTGTTTTTACTATTCAACAAAAGCAAATAGCAGACTAAGAGTCGTGGGTGTTCAGTGATACAAAAGAACGATGAGAGCATGATAGGTAAGTAGGAAGGTACATTTCTATTTCAAGTTACACTGAATATTATAATATCAATTTGTTTCATGGCTTGAAATTTGAATTAATTCCAATCTCTATATCATGTTACCAATGGAAATAACATTTATTCAAATGTAATACCACGAGTGATATTTTTTTGCCGAAAATATTCGTCGATTGTTACAGTTGCTTAATAATTGTTCAACAACATAACATTGTTTACCAAAGTTCTAGGCGAGAAATTTTGGAGCAATGTCAAGCAAGCAAGCTAGAGTATGTCAATCGACGAATATTTCCAGGAAAAATAGCATCACGAGTTGTATTCGTATGAGTATTCCATGATTGAGACATAAGCGAGCGATTTGCGAGAGTTGCGCACACTGCATCTATCATTCTGGCTGACATAACTGACGTTTTAAACGTCCAAAATTTTATCGCTGAAACACGAGGAAGGTTGGTTACGTTTGCAAATGTTGTAAACACAAAAATATCACTATAATACAAAAGAAACCGTGAAAATGACCGATTCTGATTGATTCTAGAGACCAAGAGTGGGATGGTCAAGGAAAATATCGATAACACAAAACAAAATTTGTTATTCAACTTTTTTCAAACTGTGCAACTGTAGGACTGTAAAACTCCAAAGCATTGGAGCATAATAATTTTTTCAGAAATATTAAAAAACGGCAAAATATAAATTTTATCAATGAATAATGTTGAATGAATGGTCCGAAGCCCTAATTAGTTCGTTAAATATAATTAAACTTCAAACATGCCCACTTCCAAATTTGAAATTCCAACTTTTCTTAAAAACACACGAAACTGGGAGATTGTCATTGACAATGATGACAACGTGTTTCATACCATCAATAATTCATACCGGCATATTTTTTTGAGATAAATTATCACATTACCTTTTGACAATAGCTTAGCTCCTATCTAGTGTGATTTTTTTATTCTTTAGATTGTTTGAAGGGAATTCTATATCAATATGAAAGAAAATAAGCAGTTTGTACTTGACGCACGTTAATAAAGTACAAACTGTAACGTTTTACTATACCACTGAGTTTCTAGGTCATACTAAAATTCGAATAACATCCATGCATTCCACAACATACTCCCATTCAAGTATAGATGATTTTCACACTTGATTATATCTATTAATAATGTTTTAACTTTTAACATTAGAGCTATTGGTTTACAATTTTGGTAGGACCAGAACATGTCTAAGATTGGAATTAATATGACTAACTTGGTAAACATAGATTAGCATACAAAATGCCAACTTGCCTACTTCCTTTTTCATTCAGATCGACAAATGCCATCGTAGAGGATGAGCACTATATTCGAATTTTATGTCGTTCATGTTGTAATTATGTTTTTCGGCTATTGTATAATTAGTTTTCGTTTTTTAGTGAATTATCTGGTATTATAGATTCAAATCAGACTATTTCCTGAATAAAAGAATCTGTTGAATAAAATAGTAACAAATATCCTAACCACACATTCCAAAAGAACGAAGAACTGTTGCCCAGTGGTGATCTGGTTTGGGCGATTGCTTTTGTTGATGAATAGCGTGATGAAATATTGAAATGCTCCACTAACACCCCACACAGCACAGTGAATTATAACGGTAAAATACGCGAAAGCCAGTGGCATGCATGCCCTAGAATTTCTGTCCATGATTCCTCAAGCCGGGCCCGTAGGCCACGGAAAGTTGGACTCGTTAAAGATCCATATACCTCTAGTTAGAACAGAGGATTCGGTAAAACTTCCAGTTGAGGTTAGTAAGAGTTCCTCAATGTATTTGACAATTTTCTTTAGACGTTTTTGTGAGAGGTAGTGTGCTTACCGGCGTCGGTTTTTATCTTTGGTGCTAGAAGGAGGCAGAGACTCACTACTTCGATGTACACGCCCGGATAGGTATCTAGCCTTGGTAGAAGCAAGAGGCCGACGGTAATGAAACAAAAAAAAATCACCACTTCGATGGGCACGCCCTGATAGGGATTTAGCCTTGGTAGTAGAGAGGCCGACGGTAATGAAACAAAAAAAAAATCACCACTTCGATGGGCACGCCCTGATAGGGATTTAGCCTTGGTAGTAGAGAGGCCGACGTCGAAGAAACAAAAAGAAACTAACCACTTCGATGGACACTCCCGGGTAGGCATTTAGCTTTGGGAAGCCCATGATTCCGCAAAGACCACTATCGGCCATTTCAGGCATACATTCGTGTTTTGAGTTTTGGATTATCGTAAATGTTGTACCGTGATTTAGGAATGAGTCGCCGTATCTATTTAATTCCATTCAGTCTGAGAACATCGCTTTTCAGATAAGCCGCAAGCTGTTTGATATCTGCACTGGTGCGAAACTGAAGCAATGACAATGACGGTAGGTATTTGGATCAAGGAAGAACCGCACAACAAGCCCGAACGTCTGTAGCAAAATACCATATCCTAGCTCGCAGCTGCCATACCGATGAGAACAAGATATGGAAGGATATACCGGAGGGGGCGTTTAGCCGGTGGTTCCTAGGCCACCAATGTTGGACTCGTTAAAGATCCTTACCTCTGGTCAGAACAACAAAGGATTCAGTTCTCCACTTCCAGTTAGGTTGAGTTAGAGTTCCTCAATGTACTTGACACTTTTGTGTTGACGTTTTTGTGAGAGGTAGTGTGCTTACCGGCGTCGGTTTTCAGCTTCGGTACTAGGAGGCCGACGATAGTGAAACAAAAAGAGACTCACCACTTCGATGGACACGCCGGGATAGGCCCCATCCACACTCGCCAACGACCTCAAGAAATTGTCCTCGGCCGGTCGCGAGTGGTTCCATAAGCTGATCAGCAGGCGCACGCGCACCCGGTGTTCAATGGCGGCCGCCCTGAGCGCGTCGTCGATCACCGGCCAGTAGCGCGTCTTCGGTGTGTAGATGGTGAGGGGGAAGTAGTCCATCACCGCGATGTAGACGAACCGCTCCGCCTGGCGGACGACGCCGAGTAAGGCGTCGATGTCGTCGGTACGGCCCGAGGGACTGAAGGGCGGAGGGGAACTCTGGGGAATAACGAAACGGGTATGATAGTTTAGCTGGGCCTTCAGCGCGATGAAAAAAAAAGACACGAAGTTTTTTTCGCTCTCCAAACGCAGGGTTAGTATAGGCGATTCATAATGAGCGATAGACCCTTTTGCGGATATTCAAGTAACTATATCGATACGATCATACACTACACACTGTTTTGCCACTAACCAAACCGATTTTTTATACCTCGACATGTGTTTAGCATCTTCAGGAGAAGATTATTAATCAAATTGTGATAACACCCGATTCCTATTCCAAAATTGAAGGAGCATATTTTTTATTCAAATTGAATTTGAAATCAATAATTTTGTCATTCAAAATCATTTGCATCGATTATTTCAAATCCGAATTATTCGAAAACGGTTGTTTGCAGTGACAAATATCTTATTTCATACAAAAAAATGAATCGATTTTTCTACTAGAAAATGTGATACAGGTACGTACAAAAAAGTTACATTACGAATGAATTCAAATTTGATTTTTTTAATGAAAAATACTTCCAGATACCAAGTTTCACTCGAATATCACGATTATTTTGGAATTTATCCTCAAAAAACAAAAATAAGAATCAAACTTTGACATTCTGTATCTCAGAAACGAACTTGTGGACATATGTTTAGCAACATGCTCCTGAATTTTTTACATGTACTTAAGAAACACCCTGAATAATCCATTCCTACATTTATACACTCTCTGGTCGATTTTGGTTTTTGATTTTTTTATACTTTGGGTCAATTCATCATTAACAATGCTGTTGTAATAATTTCCATTCAAGATTAAAATTTGAGCATATACAGGGTGTTGCAAAATTCGACAGACAACGCTTTACACTGACGCCATTGATGAAATTTCGATTATTTCCAATTCCTCGAATTGATTGTTCAATTATGTTGAAGAAATGCATCACCTTCAACTGAGCTAAAATGAACAGTTATCGAGATATTTCACCCAAAATAGAAGTTTGCATAGTAATTTTTCATCTTCCTCATTAGTAGAAAATTAGAAAAATGTTTGTTTTCTCTTTATGCGTGCAATAACCATTTCTGTTCAGCTACAGAATGAGATCTGAATAGTATCTAATCTACTCAACACCAGAAAAATATTTTTGCAATTTTCTACTACTGAAATTGATGAAATATTACTATGCAATCTTCTATTTCGGGTCGAATATCTCGAAAACTGTTCATTTCAGCTCAGTTGAAAGTAATGCGTTTTTTGAGCAAAATGAACAATGAATTCGAGGAACTAGAAATAATCGAAATTCAATCAGTGGTGTGTAAAATATGGGAGGAAAAGTTACCACAATCCCCTGTAGGGCACCGTTGGATGAAATGCCCGGAATGGCTTTCTGGTCAAAAAATGGCCCATTCAAAGATGAAACCATATACCGAATTTGAATGCATTATATTCAATTATTCTTGAGATATTGTGAAACAACTATTTTTATTTCTTAACTTTACGCCCTGTATCTCGAGAACTGAACACTTGAAGGCCGTATGTCCCTATATCAGTGATTATGAAATCACGAGGGCTATCACCTGTCAAGCGTTGTCGGCCGAATTTCGCAACAACCTGTATAAAGTGCAAAAATGGGAAGCATATTGTTACCGATCAGTATTTTTGCAGGTTAGTGTAGGTTTTCACATTTTTTAATCGTATGAAACTTGTGAAAGTAAATGAGAGATTTATATTAAAACTGGAACCCACATCCCTTAGGGTGCTTTCAAAGGCAAGGTATCTTCTGTGTTTCTGTGATTTTTTTTCCAACTGATGAACTAATGCAATGTGTTTGTAGTGAATTTTTCAATTTTGATATTTCGCAACTTTTATGTAAACACTTTTTGGTGTAGTTTATTGGTAATTTGTTCAAAAAGATGCCTCACCTTTGAAAATGCCAAGAACTGTCTAGATGAACAGGATGTCAAAAAACTTACTGAAAAATACGTGTGGAATGTTTCATTGTTATATAGCAAATCCATGGGTGTTTTCAAATTATATTTGGTAGATAGATTGATTGGCCAATGGGATGGGACTTTGGCGCCATCTATACCAAGAGCCCAGTATACCTGAAATGATCATAAGAGTATAAAATCATCACTTCTAATGTACTTGCTCTCGAGTTCATATGGAATCAGTCTTTCAAAGTCACATTGATTTACGATAAATGAATATTCTATTTTTTCAAATTACCTCAAATATTTTTGCAACATCGTCGGCCAAACAAGTGCAATTGAACATGGATATACCCATCTCTTTCACCTGCAATAAAATAATTCTGTTAGTGATTGTGTCAGGATATTCTCTACTAACAATATTATTAACTAAATAGTTTTGTTGGCTTCAACAATCTTAGGGTTTGAATTGTGTCATCAAACACTGCGCTAATTTCAAATGACAAAGATATTCATACAACAGCATGGGATTTTCATAATATTTTTCATTAGTTCTCACTGAGTTCTCACCAACATGAATCTTTGGATTGTATAAACAATAATTGAATTCGAAAAATTTATGACACTGGATTGAATACTTAAAGAAAATTGTGATTATTATGCAGAATTTGTTGACTCTGGACGATACTGAAAAGCGTCAGGAAAAATGGTTTTCCGACGAACGTGCGGAAAAATAACTTTATCGCATGATTGTTCGTTTTGACAGTTGTACTTTTCCGTATTATTTTTACTTTTCCGCTCGATTTCGAAGGAAATACCAGGAGACATGTGGTGATAACTGTTGACACCAGAACGTACTCATACCAACAGTCGCTATAAACTGACAGTGGTGGCAGTCAACAAATAAGCATTCCAAGCATAATTTTTCCGTGTACGTAATCCCAATTAAAAATGGACAACTCAGGAAACTTTCAAGATCTTCCCCTGGAAATAATTGATGCAAACACTAACCAATCAAATTCAAATAAGAAACGACGTTCTTCAAGATGTTCCGGCATCTGCTATATTAGAGCATGCAACAAATACAAATTGCACTTTCAATTTCAAAATTTACCATCGTTAATGTTTTAAATACTGTCTGTAGGTTAATCGTGGAGGTGGTACATTCATTACTCCAAATTTTTGATTGCCAACGTCACCAATTGTCATTGAAAACTGAAAAGCTTCAAGACATATTATACGACTTCGCAATTGAAAAAATCTCTTCATTTTGAAAACGGGAGCAGAATCGGTCCCGAAACGTCCAAAGATAAGTGAAAATTTGATATTTTTTCTATATACCTTTATTTCTATTCTCCAGAAATTTTTCAATACAAATTGTCACTGACAAGCTAGTGAATTTTTCTTTTAGGCTCTCTGATAGGAAAATTCTTTAAACGCAGTGACATTTTGGGGCAAATCATCTGATTTGTCCTTACTACACGTATATTGAAATAATATTCATATTTTTATTTTATAGAAACGAGGAGAGAAAATCCCAAAAATCTGGAATAATTTTAATGTTTTAGTTATTGTCATTTAAATGTTCTTCAAATAAGTTTCCTATTATGACAATGAAAAAAAAATCTATTTCATTATTTTACAGTGCATGAAAATACCGTTCGGAAAAGTTACTTTACCGCACTAGTGCTAAAAACTCACTTTTCCGCACGATTTTTGTATTGTTGAAAATAAGGATATTTGGGACTAACTAAATGATCCATTTATAACTATTCTGTCTTGTGTCATTTTGCAGCATCATTATGAAATATTGTTTCTTAAAAACCTCTTTTTTTTTAATAAACAATATGGACAAAAACATACGTATAAATAAACTTTTTCTACAAACGCTTAACAAAGTAGCCTTTGACGCTTTCAAATTCCAGCACAAAGTTGACGTTTTCCCAGAAATGTCAATCTTTGACAGCATTTGCGCTCGTGAGCGGAAATTTGAAAAAACGCTCTCTTATCTCTGTAACCTATACTTATCTATTCTTGAAAACCCCCAATTCTTTCATGATGGAAAAAAGTGACAGTGAATCATCAAACACACCTCCTTCCTGATGATATAGCAGAAAGCGCAAGAGTTTGAATCTCTTACCGGAGAAATCAAGGAAGAAATATGAATTACAATATGATACATTCATAAATTGGTGCCACTCCGAGATGGTGAATATGTATTCATAAAACGTTTTACTGGCTTATTTTGGTAAAAAATCAAAGACTTTGAAGTCATCAACTCATTGGTCTATATATTCGATGGTACGTATACATGCTTATGTTAAAGATAATATCAGAATCAATAAGTATCTGAAACTTATCGCATTTCTCAAGAAACAATCTATTGGATATAAAGCGAGAAAAATCCAAAACATTCACCGCTGAAGATATATACCAACAAATTTCTACAAGAAGCTCCCGATGAAGCATATCTGTTGAAAACGATGAATTATACTTTATATTTAAACTCTTTGTTGTCATCAGAAAGACAGTGTATCTTTATTTTATTGCATCAATGAGTAATGTTCAATTTGATTGCAGAGTTTATCGTACTATGGCTCAGAGGTCTGTAGCTCAGGTTGCCACGCTGGTGGTCCAGTTTCAATTCTCGGTAGGCCCGAAATTTTTTTTCTGGCTTGTCAGTTATTTCAATTTTTCTTTTTTTGTTTCCTTTGGACATATGGGAATTATGGGATAATATGGATTAGAACTTTCTCAACTATTTCAATTGCTCATACTTTCAGGGTAGTTATTTCCAAAAGCTGCGTTAGTAGAAAAAATCTTGTGTGTATTTCGAGCACAAAGTGTTATTGCCGCTCTCCAAAGATTACCGCGCTCCGCTCCGCATTGCGCGGTAACTTTCTTTGTCGAGCGGCAATCTATCACTTTGCGCTCTAAATACACAAATAGCTATTGTATTTAACTCTTGCGGAAAATGTCTTTTCCGCCCTTGACGACTTGCCCGAACTCCGCTCCGCGCTGTTCGTGCAACTGCCTTCGCGTGCAGAAAAGTACTACTTTCCGTACTTGTTAGGTAAATAACTATTTTCTCCAAACGGCATAGAACATGAAAGGTGTACTTTCTCTGCCTAATCTGAATGAAATTGGTAATCAAAATTGACAATGACATTGGATTGATGGAGTTTTCAATATAAAAATAACACAAAATTGGTTTTATATCATTATTTGGAGAAAAATTATATGTTTCACATGGCAGCAAATGCAGATTGACTGCCTTGGCCGAATTCCTGAACTATCAGCCGCAGCGGTCAATATACTACTTTGCTAAAACAAATAACTATTTACCAAGTCCTGTAGAAGCTCACTGAACTGATGTTTTGTCATCTACATAGTAGATATATTGTTACTATTCATATAAATCACGGCAATATACATATTCTATCCAAAATATGAATTATGTAAAATAACAGCAGAATGAACTTCATTCCAGTCATGAAAAATGAAAGTTACCTTGACCCAATCTGCAAATCAATATACCAATTCCTAATAGAGTCTTTATACATCCCTGCCATACATAAATAAAATTGCTGTCTGTTTATTTGGGTTAAGTCTGATTGATCCAAAACTATTACATTAATAATACAGCAGAAGGTAGCATTTAAGGATGATTTATCGATTAACATAATATAAACATGAGGTAAGTGAATTGGTCACCATCTCGGTCAACATTCAAAACATAAAATCGAAAATTTTCGATCTAATTGGTATCATTATAACTTCCGGAAGCTAGTTTACGTAACCTAATAACGATTAATGATTTCGTAAAAACTTCAGAAACGATAAGATTCACACAAAGTTCTCAAAAACAGGATTTGTTTCACTAACACAGTAAATTTTTCAAGTAAAATGGTCGTAAAATAAAACTCCCATTAATTTTTATCAATTCGTTAAGTTATAGATTTCTATAAATAGCTCGTCATTTGGGTAAATTATTTGTATCACGCATATCAATAATTAAGTCTCTGGCTAATAGGTCATTCACAATACGGAATCGCCAAATGCACCTTAATTGATTGAAATTTATCCTATAAATCCCAGAATAGATATTGTACACTGAATACCAAAGAGAAATCGCGACCCCTTTTCAAAAGTGACACGACTCAAAAAAAAATCATGGTATGGGGTAGACAAATCCCTAAAACTGTCATAAGTCACTCAAACAAAATATAATTTCATGAATTTATTTTTACTCATGACCGTTTTGATAAATCAGTATTTGCTCTTCCAAGGTATATTTTTTAGGGTTTTATCTCCCAATGAGCAATATTCCAATAGAAAAATTAAAAATCCAAAATGTCACAATGATATGATTTGCCTAAATTATCAGAATGCCACTGGACCTATCTAGATATATTTGGTCCGTCAAGTTAGGATATTTGTAACCTGGAGGTAGAAAATTAAAACACAACATCACTCTTCTTATTTGTTTACAAAGGATCGAAATAGTTTTTCACAATTGCATTTTTTGAGCATTGTACAACAGTACAATGTGATGGCATGCTTACATAAATGAACAGCCCAAAAAACACGATTCATATGCCAAAATATTGTGAAAAACTATTTCAATCCTTTGATTACTTTAGAAGCAGTGAGGTTATGTTTCATGATCTGTTCATAGAAAGGACTTATATTTAATTCAATTCAATCGTAAGCCAGTTCGTTCATAAAAATGCATTTAAAAAATACTTACGCATGCGCAAAAATAATCATATGGTTATTTTCAGATTCATGATATATTGGTACAACTGACGCTAATGCTCATTGCACAGTTGTTATTTACTGTTGGTAACAGCGGGTCACAACGGGCGCATGCTCAGAGATCCATTTAATTCTTAATTTATTGCAATGAAATGTTGGCTATAATCAGTACTAAATTAAATATAAATAGAATGAGATCAATCAGTGAGATTCTATGAACGCTTCCATGAAAGTCTGATGGTCAGTTCATAGAAATTATTTATATTCAATTTACATTTAATTTTTATTTAACGTAATAGTTGAAAATATTCGTCTCACATGTAACACATGTGATAGAATCTTACGTATTGCTTTCATTTAATTTTTATTTAATTTGGTACTGATAAGATAGCCAATTTTGCATTGCAATAAATTAAATTGAACTGAGCATGCGCCCGTTGTGGTCCTCTATTACCAACACTGAATAACAACTAAAAATAACATTGAAAATAAGATGTGCATTGAGCATTAGCGTCAGTTGTACCAATATATGAATCTGAAAATAACCATATTTATGTTTCTGCGCATGCATAAGTATTTCTTCAATGCATTTCTATGAACGACACAAACTCGTTTACGATAAAATTAAATTAAACTAAATATAAATTGAATATAAGTCATTTCTATGAACCGACCATATATTGAATATAAATTAATCAAAAGCAATAAGTGAGATTCTATGAACACTTCTATGTATGACTGATATTTCAACTATTATTTTAAATATAAATTGAAAAGATATAAACAATTTCTATGAACAGACCATAAATGCTTCACAAAAAAGTGGGGTTGTGTTTCAATGTTTTACTTCCAGGGTCGGTCATCATGCACGCGACCTATTCGCGATAGAAAATAGCACGTCGCCCCATCTGACGGCAACAACTGGAACACTTCTGAGCGGTTTGTTTCGATGCTATGACCAATAAGCACAAACAAAAAACAAATGTGAACCAATGAAAGCAAAGTAAACAGGCCTCTTTGACAGCTTTCAAGAACCCCGATAGGTGGCGTACGCTTATTTTCTATCGTGAATAAGCACAAACAAAAAACAAATGTGAACCAATGAAAACAAAGTAAACAGGCCACTTTGACAGCTTTCAAGAACTCCGATAGGTGGCGTACGCTTATTTTCAATGGCGCATAAGTTTATAATAATTAATGATCTGAGTTTCTGACACTTATGTTGTTATGGATACATTATTATGCTATAAAACTCATTCCATTTTTCATCATTCCCAATTTATGCCAAAATGGGCCCTAAGAAAGTGTTTTTCCCACAGAGAAAATAAGCTAAATAAACCTCTCTTCTCAACCATTTACTCTGAGATTTAATGAGAATTTTCCTCTTACCTGAGTGAGTGCTCTCCAGTCCATGTTAGCGCTACCCAAATAGACATGTTTCCTATCAATAACCCACAGTTTCGTATGCAGAACTCCAGAGCCCAACAACTTGGCAAAATTTAAAGTCCTTACTTCAGCAGCTTTTCTTTTGACCAACAATTCAGTGTCAGTATTTGGATAATTTTGTGAAGGAGCATTTTGGGTGATTCTAATTTTAATTCCCCTTTCTATCCCAGCCTTCAATAGGCTTTGAAAAATCGTTTCACCCTAAAAACAATATATTATGTGGTCTATGGCGTTCATCGGATAACTAAACAGGATTTCCCAAAACTTCAATCCAGAATTATGAGAATGGGGTTACAAAAAAAGTGTGTTTTTATTACCAAGGTAGTTTTCGTCATTTTATGAACCACTAGTCAATAATGACATAGCCACCTCTGTTATAATCTTGTACGTATTTATCAATGACGACTTGACATATGATGTTATAGTCATGGCTATAATTTTGATTAGAATTGAAGGGAAGTGCTTTCATAGTGACAATAGGTCAATTCACAGAACGATAATGATTGAAATAGGCTGAAGCCTCGGGATATAATCTTGGTGCCTGGTTAATTTTGATATTCTTTACTAGCTTGGTGTGTAAATAACTATTTTTCTGTGACGGGAAAAAAGTTTGGCATTTCATCTCTGTTGGCAGGTAACAAAATGTCACTTTTCATGAATTACTTCTTTCCGGGATATATATCACATACAGAGTGACCCATTTGAAAGCGGGCCACCCCTGTATCTCACGTAATCGTTGGGTAAGGATCATGAAATTTGCTGGAGCGAGAGATATACCAAAAATGCACTCTATGACCAAGTGGGGTCATCTTCAGTGATATACACTGCTCGCCAACAGCCATGGAACCACCCCAATTTCCGGAAAATGATATTAGGAGTCAAAATAGGTTGAAAATCACTTCGGATTCGGAATCAGGACGCCCAATTCACTAACTCTTCATATTTTTCCTTGAAAATTTTCAGTTCTGAAAAATTAAATTTTGTCGCACTTTTCACGGAAGCACCCCCGTATCTCACGTAATTGACTTCATCTTTGGACTTTCCGTTCCTCCTGCAAATTTTAGAACCCTACCACAATAATTACGTGAGATACGGGGGTGCTTCCATGATTAGTGAGACAAAATGTAATGTTTCAGAACTGAAAATTTTCAAGGAAAATTATGAATAGTTGAGAGAATTGGGCGTCCTGATTCCGAATCCGAAGTGATTTTCAACCTATTTTGACTCCTAATATCATTTTCAGGAAATTGGGGTGGTTCCATGGCTGTTGGCGAGCAGTGTATATCACTGAAGATGACCCCCACTTGGTTATAGAGTGCATTTTTGGTATATCTCTCGCTCCAGCAAATTTCATGATCCTTACCCAACGATTACGTAAGATACAGGGGTGGCCCGCTTTCAAATGGGTCACTCTGTATATATACACTGTTGATGGCTTTTGTTGTGCTATAGTTCCGAAAAATGAGTCAATAATACCGTCTCCGAGAAAGAACTGCAAGTTCTTTTATCTTTCATTCGACTTCGCGGTTACGTATGTTATGCCCCGCGAAATACTATCTAAGGAAAATATTGAAATATTGTAAAAAGAATTCATACCCGTTAAGTAAACATCTTTTGTCGGCAAATTTCAGATATTCAATATTTATTTTAATGACTCTAGATCAACCTTGAAATTGGTATGTCCAAGAATGCGCTAATTATTGAGACCGACAAACGAATATGATGTGATTTATTGTTATTGCCATATGAATCTATGAAATCCCTTCCATGAGTGAACTAAAACCAAATAACAAGAATGACGTAACTTGCTTTGTTGATTTTGACTATAAAAACACTTCATTGTAAAAAATGGAAATTCAATTGATCATTAACTCTCGAGACGTCAACTAGTAAAGATGTAGCTCCAATAGAATCAGAATAGATCGCGAAGTGCATAGAAGTACCTATCTATAGTGGTTATTAGAAATCAGTGCAAGTGAGAAAGAGATGATGGCAATTCTTTCAACTCCCAAGCAAGTTGGTATGTCTTTGTGGTTACATTTAACAGACTAGAGGACTGAAAGTGCTTTTTGACATTCAACATAATTTTCTAAAGATAATATAATGGACATTTTGAAGAAACTAGTCAGTCAACCTATTAGTGTCAAGAGTTAGGATGTTGTTTAATGAATTAGACGTATAAGGGTTTTGCAAACTAACTTGATAAGAGGTATCGAAATAAGGGATGATTAGAGTTTTAGCTATTATAGTATATGGGCTTAGAGTAGAAGTAGGGTTGAGTTTTGATATATATAGTGTTACTGGGTGTATTCTTTGTAGAAGTTTATAAAGGGGAGTTTATTTTTTTTGTTTAAAGAATATCAACGTTGAGTTGAGAGTTTTCATTGTAGGAAAACCTAGGGTGAATAAATACTGGTTCACGATTATTGATTGTATATTGATTATTTTTGATTTTATGAATTTATAGAGTGATTATTTGAGTTTTTAGATATTTACTTAACTTTGAGATAAAAGTGAATAGACATCAAAAGTTTGAGTTTTCTGAATATTTGAATTTGTTAGGATTCTGATCATGAATGTAGTTTATTTCCTAGATTATAGTTTACTATCTATCTATTTGTTTTTCTTCTGCATTCTGCCACCATCATAGTCCGAACCCACACAATTTAATATCTGCTGTAGATTCCACACCCTGTATAAACATACCAGCCGCTCGGTATATAATCTGACAACATCTCCCTTATACAGGGGTTGATCAACACATTGGTGTCAGTCGTGTGGGGTTAATTTAATCAATTTAGGGTGGTTTTTAAGGGTTGATCTTGTTGTAGAATGTTGAAAAACAAAATTTCAATTTTTTTTTGGTTATTTCGAGCTATGATGGTATAATATAGGTAACCCCTATATTGAGGCAAGTCTGGAGAGAGAAATTCAAAAATAATTAGAAAATTGCACGGTTTATTTTTGACTTGAATCTTAAAAGGTAGCTTATGACCTATAGTTTTGAAAGGATTATTGAACAGTGTGACGGTCCGGTGTAGTATTGAATTGAGTAGGAAGTATATTCATTGATTATCATGCCTGATCCAAATTTACCTGTTCCGGTACCTGTAGCTCCGGTACGAGAAATAATTCTACCAGTGTCAATAAATTTGGATTCGATACCATTTTATAGTGGGCAAACAAACGTAGATAATTTCATTGAAAATATTGAGGAAACAGCGGTAATTGCAAATTGGACAGAATCTCAAAAAGTTTCTATAACCAGGATAAAATTAAAGGGATTAGCTAAACAATTTGTTGACTCAGAACCTTATTTGAAAGTAACACATGAATGGGAACTATTGAAAACTAGATTGAAGAAACAATTTGCTGTGAGTCAAATTCCAGGACAGGCTGAAAGAAATTTTATGGACTGTAAGCAAACAAAAGGAGAAAATTGTAGGCAGTTTCTTGCTCGTTTGAAATTATTAGCAGCAAAAACTTTGAACAGAACGGGAGATAGGTATGTTGATACTATTTTAGAACAAAAATTAGATCGCGACACTACAACTAATTTTGTTATGGGGCTATTGAATCCGGTGAGAAAAAGAGTTTTAAGAGCCCAACCTACCTCTGTTGCGGATGCTTTGAGACTTGCTGAGCGGGAAGAGAACATAGAGAATATTACGAAAAATCAGGAACGAGCGAGGGAACGAGGAACTTCAAATGTCCTCAGTTATTCAACAACAGATGATAATCAGAGGAAATGTTATAAATGTCAGAAAATAGGTCATTTTGCGAACGAATTTAGGCAGAACTTTGTAAAAAGAATTTGTCACGGTTGTAAGAAGCTAGGACATTTGATAAAGGACTGCAAATACTTACCGCGAGCAAACAAGGCTAGTAAAGAAATTGTTTGTTATAATTGCCGAAAAATCGGGCATTTTGCGAGAGATTGTGATGTAAGAATGAGAAGAAGTTATCAGGATAGATCAGAAAGTTCAAACGAGACTTTAAACGAATTGGCAGTAGCTCACTGACCCCGACGAGCCACTGCTTACCAGAATTTCAAAAACCGAATGAAAACGTGGTTGACAAAAAGATACTGAACTACACCTGCGAGAGTTCGAAACTCAAAAACCTCACTGAGATTGAGATCCAAGGATCCTTCCAGTATGTTTTGATTGATTCAGGTGCCGCAGTATCTTTGATTAAGAAGGAATTCGCCCAGGGGTTTAAATGTATTAGAAATAGTGAAAAAGTTGAGATAAGAAATAATTTAGTGGATATTCAAGGAAATATCATTCCTAACGAAGGAAAGGTTATCGTACCCATTAAGTTGAGTAACGAGATAACGATAGAACATGAGTTCACGGTTATAGGAAATGGAAATTTTCAGACTGGATATTTAATTGGATTAGATTTTTTGCAAAAGTATGGAGTGAAGATAGATTGGGAAAATAGTAAGATGTATTTATTAGAGATGGAGTTAGCACTTATGGGAGATTGCAATATAGATGAGGGTATACAGAGTTGTGAAAATAGCATAGATAGTAAATTGAGGAACTTGGAGGATCAGATAAAAGATATTAAAGATATTTTGTTGAACCTGAGCAAAGTGAATACGAGTAATTCAGATGATAGTTTGAGTCCTTCGTTGTTTGCAGCTACGAAGGATTCCTCTGTTCGAACGACTGCAAATCGTTTGACTGAGCAAAATTCCATCAAAACTTTTCTACCGAAAATTACTGTTTCACATAGTAGGAATAGAGCTCATTCCGAAGATCAGGTGAAAGATGATAGTTCCCAGGTAAAGAGGTCGCAAAGGAAACGGACAAATGAGTCAGGGGAGTACTCAGGTAGAGAGAGATTCTCGAGAATAGAGGAAAACTGTGTGGACCCAAGAGAAAAAGAATCGATCGAAAATTTCCAAGAGAAAAGTGTGGATAGGACAGAGAAGAGAGAAAATAAACGTTCGCGGTGTAAAGTTATACAGAACGTGAGGGAAACAGAGTTTCCACAGAGTGAAAAGAAACAAGGAGTTTCTAAGGAAGAAACCAAGGGTAAAATCATCTATGATGAATTATTAGCCAAGGCAAATAATCGAAAGGATGATGAATTTTTCGAAGGGAAGAAAGCTTCGAAAAATGCAGAGAGAGTGGAAAAACTTTCAGGAAACTTTTCCGAGGAAAAACCTGTGAGTACAGTACGCTCCAATG